CTACATATTAATATATTAGGGACATACACTTTCATTAAAATGTTATCTTACTAGGCAAATTCATTCAGTGTATTAACCCTTTCACTAAATGACTGCCAATAACAGAATGTTGCAATGCAACAAATAAGTGATATGGCAAACAGGTGTTTTAGCTTGACTGAAATGCTTTTATGGACCAATCAGATGCCAAGACTTCTTGTGCTTTAATAGATGCCATATTTAATATCATGAAAGAAATGTGGGTTTGTACAGAAGTACAGTCTGATCAACATGTTTTCAGATGCTATGTAAGTTCCCAGGATTTCTGAATGCTCAACACCTAGGTTTAGTGTTGTTATGGTCAACTAAAACGATTAAAAAAAAAAAAATTGTTCAATGTAAAAAATTACATTTTAATTAAATTTAAATTAAGTTGAAATTAAACCCACTGTATGTAGTTTTGTGTATTTTTGCAACTTCAGCATCCCCTACAGTAAAGTCAGTGAAACTCGCTGTGGTAAATATATCACTGTCGCAATTATAGGAGGACAGTTGTACACATTAGGGATGGGCGACACCTCATTTTATTTTCGATCCGATACCGATATTTTCAAGACCAGTATCGCCGATAACAATACCTCTAAACTAAACTAATTTTCACTAAATGACTGCCAATAACAGAATGTTGCAATGCAACAAATAAGTGATATGGCAAACAGGTGTTTTAGCTTGACTGAAATGCTTTTATGGACCAATCAGATGCCAAGACTTCTTGTGCTTTAATAGATGCCATATTTAATATCATGAAAGAAATGTGGGTTTGTACAGAAGTACAGTCTGATCAACATGTTTTCAGATGCTATGTAAGTTCCCAGGATTTCTGAATGCTCAACACCTAGGTTTAGTGTTGTTATGGTCAACTAAAACGATTTAAAAAAAAAAAAATTTTCAATGTAAAAAATTACATTTTAATTAAATTTAAATTAAGTTGAAATTAAACCCACTGTATGTAGTTTTGTGTATTTTTGCAACTTCAGCATCCCCTACAGTAAAGTCAGTGAAACTCGCTGTGGTAAATATATCACTATCGCAATTATAGGAGGACAGTTGTACACATTAGGGATGGGCGACACCTCATTTTATTTTCGATCCGATACCGATATTTTCAAGACCAGTATCGCCGATAACAATACCTCTAAACTAAACTAATCTTTTAGATTATTAAAAGAATATAATCAGTAATTATACTTAATATTAGATTTTAAAGCCATGTTTTTTAACATTTCATAGGCCTTTTTCAGAAATAAAATATACTATAATTGTATTTTAGCCCTTTACTGGGGCAGTAACCTCAAAGGTGCAACTATACCCCTAAAAGTGAGCATATTAGTACCATACAAGTATGCATGCTTTAAGGGTAGATAAGTTACAAAGGTGCACCTATGATGGTACCTCATGAAAAATAAAGTACTAAAATGTATTATTATTATTATTACAATGGTAAATTTGTGGTTACTGCAGTTTTACTACAAATACTAAACTGTGGTTATTGTAATAAAACCATGGTTCATTTTTGTAAAAGGCTGCCAGGCTGTTGTACTCCTAAAGGTGAAACTTTAGCATATTTTTTTCTGACAGATTTATTAACAGCAATTACAGAACATAACACAATCCATTTGAACTTTTAACAACCAGTTTAAATAAATGTACTTGCACAAACTAGCCAATTTAAAATGAATATTACATGTACACAAAAGTTTGGGGTCAGTAAGATTTTGTAATATATATTTTTTAAGTCTCATGCTTACCAAGGCTGCACTTATTTGAGAGAGAAAAAAAGAAAAAGAAAAACAGTAAAAGCAGCAATATTGTGAAATATAACAATTAAAATAACTATTTTAATATATTTTAAAATGTAATTTAAAATTCATCTGATCAAAGCAGAATTTTCAGCATCATTACTGCAGTCTTCAGTGTCACATGATCCTTCAGAAATCATTCTAATATACTGATTTGCTGCTCAAGAAACATTTATTATTATTGCTGCTTCATATCTGTGTGGAAACCGTGATGCATTTTTCAGAATTAATTTTATATATAGTAACAATGTTATGTAATGTAATGTAATAATTTGGCAATGGTTTCTTAAGATCTACTTACGCTTCTGATGCTTTTGGAAAACGCAGCCCTATTTAAACAAGCACTCTGAGCCATGCGTCAGCAGCAAACGCTGTCTGTGATTGATTGGTTCTGTCTTTCAGCATTTCTGTGTGTTCTGATGAGCAGGAGAAATGGTTCTATCCAACACAATTATTCGCTAATATACTTAGAAGCTTTTTTTATGCACCGAATTTCTTGATAAATAAAATGAATGGTTAAAAAATGCACTTTAGAATCAATATTTTTATGTGAGGATCGATCCTTTCGATACAACATCAGTATCGAAAGTATCGATACTTAAGGATCAATCCGCCCATCCCTAGTACACAAGAATTTGTTGCTGCCGTCAAGTAATCCTCCTTTTTCACAGAATTTTAAACCAGTTCACCAAATTGATATACTCCTAGAACAGTTTGGAGGGAAGCGTGGGAAATAAACAAAATCTATCACTTTATTAGATGTCAGCGTACCATGAGAATAATTTTGAAACTGATATTTCAAGGTAAAAAAATAAATAAAAAAACTTTATTACAGTTGCTTAAATAAAATAGAAACATGTGACCCTGGACCACAAAACCAGTCATAAGGGTAAATTTTTTGAAATTGAGATTTATACATGGTCTGAAAGCCAAATAGATAAGCTTTCCTTTGATTTATGGTTTGTTAGGACAGGACAATATTTGGCTGAGATACAACTATTTGAAAATATGGAATCTGAGGGTGCAAAAAAAATCTAAATATTGAGAAAATCACCTTTAAAGTTGTCCAAATTAAGTTATTAGCAATGCATATTAATAATCAAAAAATAAGTTTAGATAGATTTACGGTAGGAAATTTACAAAATATCTTCATGGAACATGATCTTTACTTAATGTCCTAATGATTTTTGACATTAAAAAAATCGATAATGTTGACCCATACAATGTATTTTTGGCTATTGCTACAAATATACCCATGCGACTTATGACTGGTTTTGTGCTCCAGGGTCACATATTAGACAAAAAACTTAAAATTATGGGCTAGATTTACTAACAGCTTGCACCAGTTTAAGCAGTCTTTTGGTATTAAAGGGTTAGTTCACCCAAAAATGAAAATTCTGTCATTAATTACTCACCCTCATGTCGTTCTAAACCCGAAAGACCTCCGTTCATCTTCGGAACACAAATTAAGATATTTTTGATGAATTCTGACAGCTCCCTGACCCTCCCATAGACAGCAATGTAATCACCACGATCAAGGTCCAGAGACGTAGCAAGGAGATCGGTAAAATAATCCATGTGACATCAGTGGTTCAACCGTAATTTTACGAAGCTACGAGAATACTTTTTGTGCGCAAAAGAAAACAAAAATAATGACTTTATTCAACAATTCGTCTCCTCCGCATCACCCTGGCACCATTTTGGAGAATATCCACTGAACGTAAACAACGTATGCTATTCTGTGTCAGCTGCGCCATGCGGATACGTTGTTTTCATTCCAATCAAAGCGTAAACAACGTAGAAAACGTATGCGTGTGATTACATAAACTAAATTTTCATGAAATGCACCAATGTATCGACCCGTTTACGTTCATAACTACCACTGAAGTAAATTATACTTAATACTACTCAAGGTAACTAATAGCAGAATATAGGCTGCGTTTACACGGCAACATAATACAGCTGTCAGTTTCATATTTTGAACTTAATACGTTTATGTTCATACATTTAGTTTTTTATGACTGTGACTGCTGCATTCTATAACCGAAGTGACACCTGCAAATTCTCAGGACAAATTTTCAACTGCGTTCATAGCAAACCTGCACTGACAGCTAGTTGTTTGTCAGGTCATATAATGCGAGAGCTGATATCGACATTGCCATCTTTGATAATGAACATGAATCGCCTGCGAACTATGGCTCTGTGTAGTAAATGCCGCTCCATCTGAACGCACGCATTCGATTTTTTGCACAGCCCTACATTATGGTAACCTGAGAATACGGTTGTGACTTGTTTACAGTGAGTGTTGAACTATTCACATTGGGCTGAATTTATTTACTGTCTCTAAATGATGCCCTAATATTTGTTCATTATTAAACTACTAACTGAAAAAGAATCAACAGATTAATTGATTTAATTAGCTGCAGGCTTACAAGTGATGGTACTTTCATCCATCAGTCTCATTTGCATTCTCCTCAAAGTATTCTCTCTATGGTCATTAATTTGTACAGATGCTTGATGGAGAAGAATGTAAAAACCTTAATCAACAGTTTAACTAGAATGCATGTGAATCGAGAGGTTTATACTTCCGATTATGGTCTGCCATCAGACCACTGATAGCTCCTATAAGAGTTTCTGCATCATCTAGCATTGGTCCATGATGGATACAAGTACAAATGTAAAATGACATGGTGTCTGGAAACCAGCAACCATATCAAGCCTAACCTCTCCAGCAGAACAGTGTGCAGAAAAAAGAAAGTTTGCTTGTGTGCTTGTAACGGCAAGGTCAAAACATATAAGCAAGCCAATCTCTACAAAGACTGGTCTAGCAAAGCACGTCGTTCCAGCCACCTCAAGCGTGCTACTGTACAGGAAGGGGCGGAGCTGCTATCTTAAAGTGATGTATAGCCTTCTCCTTTTGTAGAAGCCAAATACTGTGCTGCTGGCCTTGATCACAGCAAACCCAGAATTACAACAGTCAGTCTAAATATAAAAAAAATATAAAACTGCTTTCCAGAAAAGTTGATGAGTTTCTTCAATCATGAATTTAACACACTACCCATCATTCTGAATAAGTTATGAAGGTGGAGCTGAGATTCAATCACCAACCGTCATGGAAAGCAGTTTCTAACCAAGGTTTGGCGGACATTCATAATTCCTCACCGAGTTTATCCGATGATGTAATAATGTCAGTGGGAACGCACGAATCCAGATCAGCATCCATAATCCCAAGAGGGTCCAGCTGAGCCACATGGTGACCACGTATCTACAGGAGACAAGAGGTCCCCCCAAAAACATGGGAGCCGAGCGCAAAACCACCCACAAGGAAAAGATATAGAAGGGGGGAGAAAGAGGGCACAGAAGAGGAAGTGCAGAACAGCAAGTGAACAAGAAGGTCGAGATGATATATGAAGTGTGATTGAAGATGAAATTAAGTGTCGGGTGCAGAGGGGGTTGGGGTATAAGAGTTGAAAAACAGGGGAAAGAAGAAATGAGAGAAAGAGGGACAGATAAAGGGAAGGGGAAAGCAACAATCACACAAAACAGGCTCATTAATGGTGGTCTGTTGAGCTGTGGGGGACAGAAAACATTTCTCACCAACATGCTGGAACCCAGTAGCTACTGGGGCCTCGTCAAAATTTACACAACTGATGCCAAGTGGGTCGAGGTTTGCATTGTGATGCCCCATTACCTGGAAACAAGGCAACAGCAGTCACAAGACATTAGGAGTTCACTAAGCAGATCCCATGACTGTGAATTGAGCCCAATCTTTCACAGTGTCACAAATGCGTGATGTGAAACGATATAACCAAAATGAGGTATTGCACAATTTGGCATTTTCAATCAAACGGGACTATCTGCTAGAGGTCGAACAATATTTCATTTTACCAATTAATTGCCACATTTATGGAACCATTTATTTGCTTTATGAAACTACCGGTTATTGGGAAAATCAGTGGTGATAGTTGGTGAACCTGATCACTTGTTTTAGTGTTGTGGTTTATTAATGTTCCTATGTGGCCTGTGCCGGAGGATTATTATTAGCCACTGTGCAATAAATCAAAGTCAAGGATGGAAACTGTTCACCTGTCATCATAATTCAACATTGTAAATAAAAAATATGTTATTTGTGAAGACCCAGCAAGCTGCATTTTTACTTTGTAGTTTCATATGATATTAAAAACAAAATCGTCAGTGTGATGAGGCCCATTTATTTTTTCATTTGATTTATTTTTAAACTCTGTCATTACTGTTAATTTCACATATTTAGCACTAATAAAAATTAACTGAAAAGTTATGTTTGCATTCATATTTCTTTATTATTAGAAACTATTGACTACATTAAAGGGGTCATATGACGCAATTTCAATTTTTCCTTTCTCTTTGGAGTGTTACAAGCTCTTAAGGAAGATCTGTAAAGTTGCAAAGACTAAAGTCTCAAATCCAAAGAGATATTCTTTATAAAAGTTAAGAGTCAGCCACGCCTACCTAAAACGGCTCGTTCTAACACGCCCCCACATGTCTACATCACGATGTGGGAAGATTTGCATAACGCTGCCCAAATGTTCACGCAAAGAAAGAAGGCGTAACTTTTATTCTCGCTGTAGTATTGTTGTTGCCGCCGCCATGTCGTGAAGGCGCTGTGTGTTTCGTTGTGAAAGCGAAACTATTTAGTTTGGCCTTCCAAAAGAGGATGATATCTGCTTCGTCATGCCTGGAGCTGATCCGTGCTGGTCGCTGAGGAAATACTACAACTTTCCTGGAATACTACAACTACAACTGGATCACCGGATTGGCTTTCACTGTGGACGAAGCTGAGTCCAGCCCGGGGTCGTCACATGTGGTTGCCGTAAGCCCTACGGACGCTCCTTCGTCGAATCCGCCGGCCGCGCCGTTCTCAAGCCTGCCGCCTCTGCTCACTCTAGCCCTCCGGCCATTCCTCACTCTAGCCCCCGGCCTCTGCTCACTCTAGCCCTCCGGCCATTCCTCACTCTAGCCCCCGGCCTCTGCTCACTCTAGCCCTCCGGCCATTCCTCACTCTAGCCCCCGGCCTCTGCTCACTCTAGCCCTCCGGCCATTCCTCACTCTAGCCCCCGGCCTCTGCTCACTCTAGCCCTCCGGCCATTCCTCACTCTAGCCCCCGGCCTCTGCTCACTCTAGCCCTCCGGCCATTCCTCACTCTAGCCCCCGGCCTCTGCTCACTCTAGCCCCCCGGCCGTTCCTCACTCTAGGCCGCCGTGTGTGACACTGTGTTTAATTGTGAAAGCGAAACTACTTTGTTTGGCCTTCCAAAAATGGACACGACTAGAAATCAGTGGCTAAGTTGTATTTACAACACTGTTCCAGAACACTTCAACACAAATATTCAGATGTGTGCAGCACATTTTATGAAGGACCGTTTCCTGACCCTGGGAGAGTAGATTACAATGCCGGCTGCTCTGACTCACGGACTGCAAGTACGTTTTTTATCTTTAAAGTGAGTTTTTTGGGCAGTGTAGAGTAGGGCTTGTTGTTTGTCATTTCTCCGATCACAAATGCAGACATGGTTTTATGTTTACGCGGCGCGATACAACGCGTAAAAAGACAGTACAAGTCATTATAATCCATAATTATGTCCACACTGGATGCAACGAATGCCTCGTTTATAATGGATTTTTTTCATGTTTTTGAATCATCGCTCCGGCCTGACAGGGCATCATCACAGTCTGGTAGAGGCGTAACATTTCCGTCACACGCTTGAGGTATTCGGCCAATCATAACGCACTGGATAGCTGGCCAATCACAGCACACCTTGCTTTTCAGAAAGACGGGGCATAGAGGAGAAACAATAATGTACAGTATGTGGAAAATAATGTGCTTTTTGAACCTTAAACCGCCTAAACATTTCATTACACCGAATACACAAAATAATGTTCTTTTTAGCAACATCATATGACCCCTTTAATCAATTATTGGCTATATTTTTCACCTTAGTTATCGGCAAACCGCAACACTGGTCGACCTCTGCTATCTGCTTAGTGAATGTTCTCCTGTGACCTCAAAAGCACATCTTCTCATTTTTTTTTTACAAAATGAATATGGATCTCTTACCTTGTTAAAGGTTCACGTTGCAAACTCATTAAAGGCAGCATTGAGATATCAATTTTAAGCCAATATTTTTAAAGAAGCAACTGCACAGGGTTTTTAAAATCTGTGTGTGTACCTGATAGGCCCTGATGAGGGACTGGACTGCCAGATGGTCTTCCACCAGTTTCTCCACATTCGGCTGGGCCCCCACCAGAGACTGGGCCTGAGTGAGCCCGGCCAGACTCACTCCCATTGGAGGAGGACTCTGGTAGGCTGAACCTGGGGGGGCACCAGCATTAGCATTCCTGAAGAAAATGTCCCAAGACTGGAGAACAAAAAAAGGGCCAGGATTTAGGCAGCTTAATTACAGTAAGTTGCAATCAATAGCTTAAAAAAACATACTGAATTGGATATGAAGATATTACTAAAATCATTTTGAACATCATCTAATAAAGCAGACAAATCCAAAGGTCTAAACCATTTTACATAGTACGTAAGTTTGGACTGTTTCACAGTAACAGTGACAAAAACAGTGTGAACAAAAAACTATAATAAAACTCTTGGTTTATTTTCACCAAATTAAACATCTGTGGAATACATAAATGGATTTATATTGTTTTTGAACATGACCCAACTATAAAACAATGTCTGATAATGCAGCATTTGTGCTACAGACTTATCAGACTATAAATCATGTGGCTTGTTAGGAAAACCAGAAACAGCTGGATTAATACTTAATACAATATTTCAAAGCCTTTTCCATTAAAATAACCCTCACAATTAGGGTAGAGAGTGAGACCATTAATTCTACTTTTTGTGTTTCTAAATGTCTTACCAATACAATGTGAAGTTGTAGAAAATGTTCAGGGATTGTGGTCCTGAAGATCTATCATAATTGAGCTGGAGCTTTACAATTCATTCACATTCATATAAAAAATATAAACAACATAACATTTTCTTTTAAAGCATGTGTGTACATTTACACATAATATTGATAATATAATTTCAGTAATGATGGTGTTGGAGCCTTTTGAAAGGTATATGAAATGGATGTCAGTGACCTTATTAAACCTTTTTAACATGAGTCAAATTTCACATGACGACACAAAGTTTGTCCTTGTTCTTTTGCATGGTGAACAATTCTATGAGACTCCGCATTGAGTTTGCAGTGACACAACTAACGACTCTGAACAGGTGTGGGTTGACATTGTGATTTGTCAAATAACAGGCACTAAACAAACTCAAAGCCTGTCACTGGAAAGAAGAACTGTTTGCAATTCAGCTCCAAAGTTATAAGACAAAAGCCCTATACAGGTATGGGTCTGGTGAATGAATTTCTATGACCCCCTCCTAGTTTGTGATTTTTAAATAAACCAGTTAGATTTCCATTTGCCAGTTATCATAGATCTGAACAATTCTACTTAAAGGGGTAATTCACTCCTGGCAAGATAGGCTTTTAATTAAAACCTGGCTGTCTGTAGTAGTAGAGGTGAACGGGTCTTTTTTTTTTTTTTAATTGGGACTAGATAAAGTACAGGCAAATGTAGTCATGGAGGGCCACTGACCTGCAGAGTTTAGCTCCAACCCTAAAAAAAACTCACCTGCCTGCAGCCTTCTAGTAATCCTGAAGATCTTAATTAGCTAGTTCAGGTAAAGCCACTAGAAGGCAAGCCTGCAACCAATGGCCGAAAAAGCATAATGGCTTAAGCTAACGCTTCCAGACCGGCAGTAGGTGGGAAAGGAGACCAGAGGCCGTTTTTTTTAATGGATGTCAATGGAGGAGAGGCTTCACTTCGCTGAATAAACAGCTTTTTAGAGGAAACGGCTCATCATTTAATAAATCGACAGCCTATCTGCTAATCTTCAACGTGTTTTAGACAAAAAAATACTTTTGGATTTAACTATTCTTAGAGTTTACCACGGGGAAAAAATGCCGTTTTATAAGAAAAGTCACTGACTTTTTGCGAAAGATGGGATACAGCTTATGGCATTCCCCATTCATTCCTATGGTATCTGTAAACGCTGATTGAGTGTTGTACAACTCTGACTGAAATTCAATGTCAAGGCTGTAATGTGATTGGTTATTAAGGGACACGTGATCCGAGTTAGCCGTTACGCTTTATCCAATGGTAAGTAATACAGACCCTCTCATCTCCTTATAGTAAGACAATCTCTGGTTCAGGTGCATTTGATTAGGGTTGGAGATAAACTCTGTAGAACAGTGGCCCTCCATGACTGAGTTTGCCCATTCCTGGGACTAGGGCTGGACGATATGGCCAAAATTGATATCACGATATATTTCTTCATTTCGGTCGATACGATATAATTCCGATATCGATATGAACACAATTTATCTGAATTCGAAATCTTGTGTAACATTATAAATGCCTTTATCATCACTTTTGATGAATTTTAGCATCCTTGCTAAATAAAAGTATTCATTTCTATAATTTCTTTCCCAAAAAATTTATAAAAATGATACTGAATGGAATAGTGTATAATGTTACAAAAGTTTTTTTATTTCAGATAAATGCTGATCTTTGGATCTTTCTATTCATCAAAGAATCCTGAAAAAAAAAATTACTCAA